CTCCGACGATCGCAACTTTTGCCTCACTGTTTGCTATTTATTGTTGCATGTTGTTGTCTGTCACTGTTCGCTGTTGTCCACTACCAGATCTAATGTTCATCGGTGTTCGCGGTTGTCTACCACCGATCTGTTGTTCATCATTGTTTCTCTACTGTCCATCGTCTGATCTGCTATTTATCAATGTTTCTCTACTATCCGTCGCCTGATTTGTTGTTGTTCATCGTCGATCGCTTTTGTCTGCCTCTAAATTTGCTGCTGTTCGTTGTCGTTCATTGTTGTCTGCGGCCAAATATCATGTTTGTCACCATTCGCCTATGTTCGCTACCAAACACTACTGTCACTGTCCTTCACTACAGTCCACCATTCGTCTTAGCCCAACCTATATCTCACTTCTGATAATATAAAATAATAAAGAATAAAGAAACAGAAACAAATAACTGGAACCTAGTGACCCCATCCAACCCAACCCAAAAATATAGAATTGGGGTTGGGTTGGTTATTAGTTTCTGTTTCATTGGGTAGATGAATTGGCCAACCCGAATTTTGAGGGTTGGTCCCAAAAACTTCTCTAACCTGAACCAACCTAACCTATGAACACTCTTATGAGCTTCATTTTTCAGGTCTCGAAATCAGCATTTAAGGGAACAGAACTCACCTACTTACTCTATAATGGGAATGAGTGAATTCCATCTTAGTGAAATCATGTCCTCAGGTCCCTATTTTGTCATGTCCTCAAAATAGTAGGCTTATTGAGTCGGCTACAAAAATCACTCTCACCCATGTAAATCAAAGGACATACCCTGACTGACATAAGTTCATAAATCACTCAAGTTTAAGATTAAGTCCCCATGACCATCTTACGAGATACTTATCTTATCTTTTAACTAATTTACAAAGGAAGATTAAATATCACAGTCTATTCTTGTACAAACTCATTGTGTATATGATCTCCTCACTTACCACGTGGGTCATATCAATAGTGTTACCAGGATAGGACGCCCAACCTTATCCATATACTATAAACTATTCATGTTATATAACTTGAACATGATTCTCTAAGTCAACTTCATACTATTCAATATTACATTTATAATCTTAGATTTACATAAAAATTAGATAATAAGTATTGCATATAATCAAAATAATCAAATAATTATTTTGTCTGATAAATAATAAAATATTTACTAATTACAAATTTTTAGGGCATAAATCCGAATACATAATTCTATCTCAAAAATTGGACTCGCCCTCTCGTCTCAAATCTTCTGTTCTATTTCATCTCCTTCTTAAAAAGAGAAAGAAAATGGAGAAAAAAAAGCGAAAAAGGAAATGGAGAAGAAGATGAAATAGAAAGAGAATAAAGAAAATANGAAGTGTTTTTTTTTTTAATTTATATATAATTACAAGAATATAATGGTAAAATAAATATTTTCTTTTGATTTGTTGTAATCATCCAAACAAACAAATTTACTTTTTATTAATTTAAAATCCATCGAAATTTATTGTGTTACAAACGCAATTTATTTCATTCGAATTTTTAACGGAGTTGTCAAAATTTTGCCAATGGGGAACCACCGGACAATAAGGGTCCACTGCCCATAAGTCATAACACACCAATTGAAGATTAAAGCCCCACCGATGGAGACAAAATTTCAGAGTCCACTCCGGATTTCTCCAATTCTACTGTTGAACAGAGCGAGATGAGCGTCGTGTCGCCGGAATTTTCAGATCGACTGTGGAAGATCTCGGTGCTTCTACTGACGGTGACGGCGGCGGCGCATTCGAAATGCGAATTCGAAGCGATCTTCAACTTCGGAGACTCCAACTCCGACACCGGCGGCTTCTGGGCGGCGTTTCCGGCGCCGGCGCACTACGGACCTTACGGCATGACCTTCTTCAAGAAACCCTCCGGCCGGGCCTCCGACGGAAGGCTCATCGTCGATTTCTTAGGTAACGCCCTCAGCTCCCATTTTCTCATCTTTCGATTTCTCTGTCTGAAAACTATTTTTGAATAATCGCGTTTCAAACCTGCGTTTCTTGGATGAGCATCCACCGACGCGTTGAGATTTTTCTTTCCTTCCCTTATCGAATAATTTAGTATTTGTAATTTTTGAACACATATATATATATATAAAATTCTATCAAATATTAATACAGGTATTAAATTAATATATATTAATTCTAGGATTATTTATTATTATTTTTTTAATACAATTTACATTTTTTGGTTTAAGATAGGTGTGCTAGCAAATTATTATCATTAATCTTTAAAAGACTAAATAATTCTCTCCCAACCAAAAGAGTTTTTTTAACATTTTAAAAGTTTTCTGTCTAATGAAATTTGTTGATTTATAGGGTGAATGATGGCGTTATTTGATTAAAAATATATTTTTTTAAATATACCTTTTTTCTAATGAAATTTAAATTAAGGTTTACACCGTGTTTAATAAAAATATTTTATTTTAGTTTCTAAATTTGAAAGCATTTTGTTATAATTCTAAACTTTACGCAAAAGAAATACTGTTTTAATGCATTTTTTAAATTATTTTTTAATCTATTTTGAAATTTTGATTCAATTAATTACATTCAATTTTAAACATTTGTTAGACGTTTATTCATTAGATAAATAAGTAAAATATATATGGCACTAAATTTTTGTTGAATAATTTATGAAAAACTAGCAATATAAACTAAAATAATGTTAATATAGAGTTAAAAATGTTGAATAATTAGAAGAAGAATAAATATTCAAAAATGAAAATAGAATTAAAACTAATTCTTTATACACTTTTAAAAAGTTAGTTTTTATTAAAAAGAAAAATTGCTCTAGTTTAAATTACTAATTTAGTACATGTTTGATTTTTATTTATTTGTTTTAAAAAGTTTTAAATTGATTAATGTGATTCAATTAAATCTCTCCAATCATACTTAAGTTATATTTATAAAATATTAATAATTTTCTTAAGTAACACATTTTTTTTAAAGCTCATATCCAGAAGAAGTACAACGTATTCAATAAATTTTTTGTGATGGGTATAATTTTGGAGACTTAAAATAATAATTTAATGCTTAATTTGTATTTTTTTTTCTCCTTCTAACAAAAAAAAGGAAATTGGTCCTTATCCTGTCCCACTTTATGGGTCCCACCTTCGTACCAGACTTGTTTTAGATATTTTTCATTTTCAATAGCTCTCTCACTTTTTTTCAAAAAAGAAAAAAAAGAAAAAAAAAAGCTCTCTCACTTATTTTAGATATTTTTATAGCCCTCCTCTCTCCTATTTAATTAGGTAGGTCATGTCCATAAATTGTGTTTCCTCGTTGTTTATTATTTTTCTATTTTTTAATAAATAAAAATATAATTACATTTTATTTATTTAAAAGAGAAAGAAAAGAAAACTTAATATTATTGAAAATGGGACAAAGAAAAAAAACTTGTTTTTTTATATATTTTTAAAATTTATATAGGAATGTTTCTAAAAAATTAGAAATAAGAACGTAAATAGAACTAGAAACGGAAATATTATCAACAGGCATAAGTCTTTTAGCCCGTTTGAAATGTTATTGTTTCTTGCTTTTCACTTTCTATTTTTTGAATGAATATTAACAAAGAGGAAACAAAAACGTAAATGTTCGAACACATGACTTCCTCATTTGATATGATATCATATTAAACATGAATAAACCACCAATGAACCCAAAAGTTTAAGTCACGGATTTAGTAAATTTAATTCACTTAATTATTAGATATCTTAACACATTTTTTATAGTATTGCTGAACTTATAATTTTGTAAGTTTTTTAACTTTCAAATTTTTGTCCGATAAATTTCTAACATGAACGTAAAAAACAAATTGTAACGTTGGAGTCCTATCAAATCCATGAAATTTAAAATTTAGAAACATAATTAAATCTTTAGAGATTTATTCAACATCTTTGCATTTCATGAATCTTTTAAACATAAAATTAAAAATATAACGATCTATCAGACATAATTGAAAGTGAAAGTTCAAGAACTGTGTAACCTTATCTTACATAACTACTTATCAAACCGTCGACCTTTAAAATAGTAATGAATATCTCATCTACTGAACTATGCTCTCAAATTGACTTGAATTCTCAGCGCAATCCCTGGGACTGCCGTTTATTAGCCCATATCTCCAATCGATAGGGTCGGATTTCAGACATGGTGCCAATTTTGCAACTTTAGCTTCAACAGTGCTTTTGCCAAACACTTCATTATTTGTCACCGGAATCAGCCCCTTTTCTTTGGCCATTCAGCTCAACCAAATGAAGGAATTCAAGTTCAGAGTTCATCAGTACTATTCTTCTCCACATCCAAAAGGTAACTACCATTTCTTCTTCTTTTCGGTTTCGTGAATTTTTTTAGTCGAATTCTTACCGTGCGTAGATATATATTAAAGGCCTAATTTGGTAATGTTCTTGTTTCTCATTAGTGTTCAAGAAACATAAACAGTTTTGAGAAATTACATAATCGTGTTTCTCGTTTCTCATTAAAAAAAAAACGTTTCCAATATTGTACTTTTATATAACATAAAAATTTTGAATATTCCTAATTTTCATTTAAAAATTTTACTTTTTTTAATTTAAAATTTTTTAAATAAGAAAATTAAAAGAATGAATATGTAAAACTTTTATCCACCTATACATCATTCATTTAGTTAGATATTAGTAATATTTTTACGGTTAGTGAGAATTTGAACACCTAAATTTTCGATAAATATATAATATTTTAATCAATTGAGTTATAGCTAAGTTGATGATAGTTTGTTGTTTAATAATATCGTGGGACCATATAAATTTTGTGGAGTAGGAAATATTCTTGAATAATTTTTTGATTGAGACATCTCTAACTCCTTAAATTTAAAACTTGGAATGTCTTCGCCTAAGTTAATAAAATATATTTTGATGTGAAATTAGCAAATTACCACTCTATTAGTTCACTTTTTATTTTTAGGATAAGAATAAAAATTTGATTGTGCAAGAGAAAAAAAATTTTTTGAAAGCATGAATAAGATGAAATTAAAACTTTTGACATTATTATGGACGAAATTGACTAATGACACAAATAGAAGCAAAATAATATGATACAAGTCAATTTTTTAAAATCAAATATAAAAACCTTTTTATTTTCATTGAAGTAACGATTTAAATTCTATACTTTCAAACGTTGAAGTCTAGTATGTAACAATCTAGTCTATATAATTTATAATTTGTAACAATTTGGTTTCTGCCAACGTAAACCTTTTGAAGGTTTAATAAGATTTATATAAATTACTAAATTGCTGCATAATAAAAATTGATACTTCACGTTAAATTGTCACTTTATATCTACGATATGTTTGTATTTGTTTTTTATTTTTATTTTTTATTTTTTTCAGGATGGACTCAACTTCCTCCACCAAATATTTTTGGAAAATCTTTGTATACATTGTACATTGGTCAAAATGATTTCACCTCCAAATTAGGAGCCATTGGAATTGAAGGGGTTAAGCAATTTCTCCCTCAAGTTATTTCCCAAATTGTTGATACCATCAAGGTTAGTATTTTATTACTTTGTAGCATGCCATGCATTGACTAATGTCATTTTTTACTTTCTATTTTTCCATGCATTTTGTCTATGCTTTTATTATTAAGATATTATGGTTTTTTAGTATTATAATTCCGACGGGTGGATGGAGATTCAAACCTTTGATATCTTAGTTATACTTAAAGTTGGTATATTAAGATCGAGCTTATTTGATTATTACTCTTTCATAAGCTAATTTGATAGTTACTCCATTTTTTTAAACGTTGTTTGATAACTATTTTGTTTTTAGTTTTCTATCTTTGAAAACTAAGTTTGTAAACACTACTTTCACCCATGTATTTCTTTATTTTGCTACCTACATTTTAAAAACGTTTTCAAAATATAAGTCAAATTTTGAAAATAAAAAAAAAAAATAATCTTTGTTTTTTAAATTTAGCTAATAATATAAATATTTAAAAAAGAAATGAAAGTATCCTAAGAAAATCGTGAGCAAACAAACAAAATTTTCATAAATAGAATTTTTTTTGTTTTTATTACTAAGGAGTCGTCGGCCCTTTAGCCTTTATGCACCTATACCTGGAGTATGGGCCATACCCGTGGCTTAAACCCAAGACCTCAATGTTATTTCTTGAAATCCCAAGCCACCCAAACTATCTCTTGGAAATTTTCAGAAATAGAAAATTAAAATTGAAACGGTTATAAAACAAGGTAACCTAATTTTTAAAATCTTAACCAAAATCTAAAAGTAATTTCAAAAAACCTAATTTTGTTTTCGAAATTTTGCTAGGATTTTAATGAGTATTGTTTGAAGTAAAGAACGTAACGAGGTAATCCAAGCCAACCGTTCAACGGGTAAGATACCTATCTCTGACCAAAAAGGTCGCGAGTTTGAATCCTCTGCTATCCATTAGATACAAAATTAAAAGCTCAACGATCTACCACACACTTTCTAGAGAAAGTCTTTTTTTAAAAAATGTGGGGTGAAGATTCGAATTCACACTCTTTTAGTCAATAGATGTCTTAACCAATTGAGTTATATTCAGATTAGTCTTCCCAGAAAAAGTTTAATAATCTATTGAACATACGTTTTCAAGTTCAAAAAGTTTAGAGATTAAATAGAGACACATGGTGTTTATTGCAACCAGGAGCTATACAAGATGGGGGGAAGAACATTTGTTGTTCTGAACCTAGCTCCGGTGGGGTGCTACCCGGCGCTGCTCGTGGAGCTTCCACACAACAGCTCGGACCTCGACGAATATGGCTGCTTGATTTCATACAACAAAGCAGTTGCAGACTACAACGCCATGCTTAAAAAACAGCTCAAACGAGCAAGAAAGGTTGTTCCCAATGCTTCACTCGTTTATTTAGACACTCACTCTGTGTTGCTGCAGCTCTTCCAACATCCCTACTCTCATGGTATGTCTATTACTTCTCTCCTTGCTTCTCTTTTTGCATCGGTTTTCATAACCTGTCTCGACTCGACGTTTTTTCTAGTTAGTTTAAGTCTCGTCTTGGAAAGTAGTATCTAAACTTTCTAATATGTTTTGTTAGTTCGTAAATTTTTAGAGTTGACTTTATTTTGGTCATTGAAGTAGTATTGATATATCTACTTCAGTATTTGGTTTCTTTTTTATATAAATGACTGTTGTAGTTTTACCGTCAGTGTTTTAACTGATAGATAACGTGGTTTTGGATAATGCATACTAAATATAGGCATGTATTCGAGCTACATAAATTGTAGTCAAATTAGGAGCAAAATAATAATGATGGACCAAAATAGTTATTTTTTTAAAGTTGAAGAATTAAAATAGATATTTTCAAAGTTTAAGAATTAAATTAACGTTTTTCTTAAGTTTGCAGAAGGAAATAAAATTAATGTAGAGGTTTCAAAGATGACAATGAAATTTGAAAAAATATATATAAAAATAAATGCAAAAATTTAAAAGTACTAAAAATTTTCGAAGGATTTTAGTTAAATTACGTTTTTCTTGTTATAAAAGAATTGATTTCGATACTGTTCACTTTTAATGAACCATGTTGAAATCTTTTCTTAAATAGATGATTTTTAAGTATTGTAGGTAAAAATTACTACAATAAATATTTTAAAAACTACCATATTTTATTTATATTAAAAAATGGTTAAATTATAAATTTAATTTTCAAAACTTTTAATTTTGAATCTCTGAATTTTAAAATGCATTCATAAGTTCTTTAAATTTTCGATTTTGCGAACTTTTCATTATGTTTGACAGGTCCCTAATCTATTAAAATATTTTTAAATTCACAAACTTATTATATATAAAATTGAAAGTTCAAATTTTAATGAATTTTATGTTTAATAAGATTCATGCATTTTTAAAAATATAGAAAAAAATCTAGAGAACTGACAAAAAATTGAAAGTTCGGAGATCTATTTGACACTATTTAAACTTGAGCGACCTATTAGACACAATGTTGAAAGTTTATAGACTAACTTTGAGAAAATAACTTTTTCATAGTTTTCGAGGTGCGCTTTGATCACATGTTATAGGTTTGTTTGTGAAGTCAAACATACTCTTTTAGCATATGAGTTTACACATATTTATTGGTATTCTCATGCGTTATATAAACTCAAGTTACATAGAATCCGAGTTTCTAAAAAACTCGTCCTAAAATTAAACATCACTTTTACAAATCCATCCCTTTATACTATCTAATTACATGTTACACAAATTCAAATTTTTAAACTCCAGAATGCAAATTTGTACTTATTAAATAACATACGATGTTAAATTATATTCTGAAGATAAAATAACATACTACGTTAAATTATTATGTTTGTAGGGCAGGTCTGCCATCTTTTAAAGAGTTTAAAATAAATGATCCAAACAACCTAATCCAACCAAAATATTAATATATTTAGGTTAGGTAGTATTCATCATTAAACTACTATTATCATCCAGAATCAACTTGAGTAATTCTAATTAGGTCGAAAATCTCGTCTAGATTCAAACCCGACGCACAAATACCCGTCTCGAGTTGGCTTGTTTAACACAAGGGCTTTTGCTTTGATAACTAGCAGGTCTCAAATATGGTACCAAAGCTTGCTGTGGCCATGGTGGAGGAGCCTATAATTTTGACCCAAAAGTTGTTTGTGGAAATAAGAAGAAGATAAAGAAGAGGATTTTAGAAGCAACAGCTTGCAGAGACCCATATAAGTATGTAAGTTGGGATGGGATCCATGCCACAGAAGCTGCAAACAAACTTGTTACTTTGGCTATTCTCAATGGCTCCTATTCTGACCCTCCCTTTTCCCTTCAAAAGCTCTGTGATCTCCAACCGCTAGATTGATCCAATCGGTCTCGGATGATGTGATTGAAGACGTTCGTGTTCTCGTTTATCTCGGGATAAGATTGGTTAAGTTATATAAAATACCCCTAAATTGTAGAGTTTGTTTCGATTGAAGTTTCGTAAGTCTAATTTTCTCCCTTCTGCTTTTAAGGGCTCGTTTGTGGTGACGTTCATATTTCTTGTTTCTCGTTTTCGATTTTCTTAAGAAATCTAATTATTTTGCAACTAACTATATTTCTTGTTTCTCTTTTTTTTAAAACATTCTCAAAATTGTATAGAAATTTTGGTAACAATCAAAACATGTTTCTTCTTTCTTGTTCCCGTTTCTAATTTGTTCCAAAACGTAAATAAAAATATTGTTTTATCATACTTGAATTCGTGGATGTTGGTTGGAGTTATGCAATTCAATTTTCTTTATTAAAAATGAAGAAATAGAAATAAGATACAAGAATGTTACCAAACATACCCTAAGTTATCTCAGTTAACTCCTAAATTATAGAGTTTATTTCGATTATCCTTCTACGGTTTCGAAAGTTTCATTTTCACTCTTCAGCTTTTAAGTCATCTCAAAAAACAAAAAACCTTTCGTTCACCTATGAGATCACACTAATGTCAAAGTTTGTCCGCAATAGTATACTTCGTCTTCGTCTTCTAACAAATGATTTTTTTTTATACAACTTTTTAAAGTATAAGGGTTAAAATAAAACTTCGAGAATGGCAGGGAGATAATTGAATTCGAGAATGGCAGGGAGATAATTGAATCCAACGCTATAGTTCAAGGGTATTTTGTATAATTTAATCAATAAGATTTTTAATTCGTTTGAACTTTCTTGCTTGCGATTCTCTTTCCATGTTTCTGTCATTATACTGCAAATGGCAAAATGCCCTGAGGATTGACTTGAAAGTAAGTAGGCTCCAAAAGCCAAGGTTTGGTTTGTGTTAATAATATTGTATTTCCATGTGGAAGTTTGCTTCTTGACTCACATCCATAGTTGGAAGCTAACATTTTCTTATGTTTGGCTGATTCTTTCTGCTACTTTGTCTTAATTAATTCTACTTAACTTGTTCTGTTCTACCCAATTCTGTTTTCTATGTTGTTTTCTACCAAACAGATTCCTCAACCAAAAAGAAGTAGCTAACAAACCGTTCGTCAGTCAGCTTGAACACATCTCAATTTTCTATTGTTTCAGTTACATCATTACGATATAATAAAGAACAAAGAGTCGGTTTAATGTAGCACTTGAAGGACTAGTATTGAGTAATCTTATCTCAATGATGTGAAACTATGAATACATCTATAACAGTATGCAATAGAACAGATGTACAAAGAGAAAGACTCTCCCTCCCACCCAAAAAAGAAAAGAAAGAAAAATAAAACAATACTTGTCTACACACTCGTCAGTAAGAGCTACTACTGACTTTCTCACGTGACGTATTTTTATTGGCCTAGATAAGTAGATCCCACTAAAATTTTTTAGCCGAAAAAAATATACCACATCAGAAAGTCGGGACTCCAACCGACACTAGTTACTTTTCAAGAAAGAATCAATCAAGGAACATAACTATTTTCAAGGGCTGGTAATGTTCTCACCATTGAAGCAGAGGGCATTCTACTTTTTCCAATCCAAACAGTATCAAAACACACCTCTCTTTCAGCTGCCTTCTCCATATCCTTAATGTTTCTCATCCTCACAACCCTCAAAACCCAAATCAAAACTAAACCCATTAAACCTAACCCAATCAAACCCCCTCCAAAACCAACCACCCACCATTCCCACAACACACCCTTCTTCTTCTCCTTCACATGAGGAGTTGGAATAACCAGAGAGAAATGGCCATGATCAGTGGCAGAGCACAAGCTTGGCCCTGTCATGTTCTTCAATTGAAAAACCCCACCAGCTCCAAACTTCACACACTGTGGCACAATACCCTTATCCCCAAACTCAACTTTATGATGAAACTTAACCAAAATTTGGCCTCCCCCCATGATGTGAAGATGGAGTTTCCTTTTCCCCAATGTGGTGGCATTGGAAGAAGAATCATAGACAGTGAACCCAATCACAGGAGCAACAAGAGTGTAGCCAGGAACTTGGTAGAAAATAGAAGACCAATTCCCCAAATTCTCAAAAACAATGGCTATTCTCTTCACAAAAGGGACTAGAGTGACTCTTGGAGGAATTGAAACCCAACTCAAATTCACTCCTCTAACCCAGAAGCTAGCACTTCTCAATCTAATATAGGAAACTTGAACCCCAGAAAAATTGGAAGTGAGAGTGATGTTATATACAAGCCCTGTTCTGGGCTTTGGGACAGAGTTATTGACAAATTTATGAACAAACCCACCAAAAGAATCAGCATCTTCCAAGCAAACACAGCACGAAATCAACATCAATAAAGAAAAAACAATCACCCAGATGATGGAATAATCGTACCAGTTTCTCCTCCTCAGCCCCATCAGCAGAACGTTCGAGAAGCCAAGCCCAATCCCATGAATCGAACGCGCTGTTTCTCGAGAAGCAAGCCAGAATTCCTGAAGATGATGGGGGGTTATTGAGAGAAATCGAAATGGGTCATTTAAAACATAATCAAAAGAGAGGGGGAAATGGGAAATCACCTCAATCTGGATTGAAGCTTGGAGCCGATCAGAGAATGGCCGTAGAGACTGAGGGCGGCGAAGGGAGAAGAATCAACAGAATAAGAAGAAGAGTATTGAGGATCGCCATTAATGGGATGTGGAGATTTCTTCTATGATTATGATTTATGGGAAACCATGTTAGTATGGCACCCGTTGGAAAGAAGGATTGCTTTTTGAGCTGTTTTTTATGGAATTTTTTTCTCTCTCTCTGTCAATTGAAATTGGGATTGGGATTGTAACTTGATTCCTAGTAAGTTGGGGTTGGTTTTTTTGGTGAGAGGGATTTGATTTGATTGGGTGTGTGCCTGCAGAAGGTGAAAGCCATTGGCTTTGTGTTCACGATCCGTAGGATCTTATTTCATTACACAAATCTCGTTATTTCAACTAATAACATTATTATACCAAGTATTGAGTACTTCCATCAATAACAATAATAATAAGGTTTAAATATTTTTTTTTTCATATCCAAGTTAACTTACGTGCACTTCGACTAATCTTACGGGACAGAACCTGACACTACAATATTGATATGGAAAAGCTCAAAGGAATTAATTCCTAAAATAGGTGACTATCGTGGAGTTTAAATGTTAAAATACTATTTTTGTCATTGTATTTTAAATTTTGGTTTCATTTCGATCTTTTAACTTTTGAAATGTTCATTTTGCTTCATGAACTTTCAACTATGTTCATAAATGTTCGTTTGGGTTCTTATACTTTTAAAAATTAATCATTTTAGACTTTTAACAYAAATTATACACATAAGAGGAACTCTTTAATATAAAGTCACTGTTATATTTCAAGAAATATATTGAGACGACCTCTTCTAAAATTTTCATATCACACATTAGAAAAAATTAAATTAGTAATGAGTTGCCTTGTTTGAGTAGTTATATTAGTAGAAAAGATTATATGTCCTTGGATACTAAATATTCTTCGGATAAAATGTGTAATTTTCAAAAGTACCAATATTTATGAGTAGCAAATATGAGTATAATTCGTGTATAAATTACCTTTATTCTTTTTCTAGAGGTTCGAAATTCAAATCTTCGTACTTTTGTAATAATAACAAAACAAACTAATAATAAAATATTTTCTATATTTAATTTTTTTGGGTTTCTCCTTCTACATCATTAAAATTGTTTTATTCAATTGATAAACTTCAACAGCCAACCCTACTCCATTAATTAGACCATTAAGTAATCATATTCTTCTACATCGCATAATCTTCCAAATACATAGTTCATAATTTTCCCTTCATATGGAGTGGTTACCAGTCTATTACTATTTAAATGAAACATCAAAAATGTAATAGCTAAAAATAATTATAATTATTACAAAAAAATAAAATAGGTAGTTGATTTATTAGTGATTATTATAATTACAATTGAATATTTTATGTGTATTAGTTGGTGATTGTCATTATTATAATAATATCTAGATTTATCATTATTTATGTAAGTTAACAAATACCCATTGCCATTAATTGGTTAAGGCACATATTTTCGATCTAAAGGTTATCAATTTGAAATCTCGCCTCCACTAAAACTAGAAACAAAAATATCACTTAAAAATAAATGACTATTATTAAACTTGTTTTACAAATCCTTTTTCACTTTCAAATATTTTGTTTTACTCACTCAACTATTTTTATTTCTAAACTATATATAACTTCTTGATCAAGAATGATCAAGTCTCTTAGTGAAGCTGGAACGGATGATAACAGAGTTAGCACTCCGGCGCTCTAGTAAATACTTGTCCGATCTATACTTGAGAGAGAATATAGTTTCGAGTGCCATGTGTGAGAGGCAGGAATCTCTATTTATAGAGGTGAGCTCCCGACAAGACTTCCGATGGTATTCCAACTGCTCTCCGATTGCTCGAGAATCACGGCGCTTTATCTGAGATTATGTTTGGTGCTTTACGCTTGAAGGTGCTCTTCAAGGTCGACTCGTCTTTTGAGAAGATCAGTCGATGTGTAAAATATGACTCGACTTGGCATGACATGTCGAACTGCCTAAGATCTTCCAATTGATAAGGTTCATCTGGTTCTTCCCTTCATTAGGGTGAGTGATGATCTCCTATGTTGACACATAGCCGATGATAATTGGTCTATATATATATATATTAAAAATAAACATCCTATTCCAATTTATATCGGTGTTGGGGTGGATTTAGCTTAAGATATTAAATCTATATTTACATAAATTGTCTCTAATCAGTCATATTACATATGATATCACAAATGTCCATTTGTTTTTTAAAATTTAAAATCTAGGATTTCCAAAATTTAATTAAGTTTTTTTTCCCAAGTTTCCCTCAATAAATATCATTCTATTACATTTATTATGATATTTTAAAATCTATTCTTTCATGTGGAGAATTGATGGTTATTTAATGAAATTATAATATTTTAATATATAATTAAACAAACACATTAACTAATCAAAGCACTTATTTTTGCTTTCCAGTAGTCCGTTTTTAAATTTTCTAAAGTATATTATATTTTTAGGATTTAAGGTCTAGGGTACGAGGTTTATGATTTATGATTTTATATATTTATTAAAAAGAGAAATTATCTCTCGTAAATTTTGTTTTTAGGTCCAATAAATTAGGGATATGCGAGTTTGAACTTCAGATCTCAAGAGAAGGAGTAGGTGTCAATTATCGTTGAAGTATACTCATGTTAGCTTGTCTTTAGTGAGCCTATGACTTAGGGTTTAGAGTCTTAGTTATTTATTAAAAAAACATATGAACATGGGTACCTCTTTAATTTTCACATGGGCCCCATCATAAACGGACCTCTATTTTGACAAATATGTCTAAAAATGTCTAGTTACGTTGTTATTAGCACATGGATTGTCAAAGTCGAGAGTTTATTAGACAAATTCATGATTTCAACAATACCTCAAGACGATACTTCTCCTAAACTCATTCTATTACATAATTCTCTTCAATCCATTATTTTTTAAAGTTATACTCCAAATACAAGTTACATAAATTCAGACTCTTCGCTAATTTGAACGAAACTCAGCTAGCTAAAGTATATTTCATCAACCAAAATGTTATAAATTTGAATCTCCGTCTTCACATGTTTTCGAACTCAAGAAAAAAAAAAGGACAATAAGGGGCCATTTGGTTGAAGGTTTCAAAAAGGTAGCCTAAGATTAAGATGTATGGGAATCAAAGTTAATTGTGTTTGGATGTATATATGTCTGGGCCTGAGATTGAGATGTCTGAAAATAAATTATATATATGTTTATTTCATGTGATTACTTTAGAAATATGTATTTTATATCATTGTAAATATTGATTAATAACTATCAAATTTAATTAAAACAAATTATATAAATTTAATAATTTTAATTTATAAATTATTTTATATCAACATTCTAAATTTTAAAATTTTAAATTGACGATTTAGCTATGTTGACAATTTAGCATAATAATCAATTGAACAATTGATAGTAAAGGTTATTTATCTAACATTCAGTATATACATATTTAACAAAATGATAAATATGTATAAAGCTTTAAAATTAATGAAAATTAGTTTACATTAATTAATATATATTTATTAAAATTATTTTAAGCAATTAGGTTTTAATTTAAGTTTCACCTATTAGTAAATATATTATAAACAATATATCTAAATTTATTTGTTGATTTTATTTAGCAAACCATCTTAATAATTATCATAAAAGAAATGTATTTCACAAAATTAATATTTTCATTCTATCAATGGCATCAATCTATTACATTTTTTATAGAAAAAATTAAGAATATATTTTAGTAAATTAATTTATTACAATAGAATAATTAATTAGATAAATTTTTAAGGTTGTTTTATTAATTATAAATTTAATTTAAATATTTTGACTAATTTTAATTTATTTATGTTAATAAAATAAGTAAGTAATTACATTTAAAAAAATACTTAATTGAAAATGACAAAGATAAGAACTTGACACAAAATCCACCGACATGGAACCACGAATATATTCCATAAAAAGTTTTCAAATCTATCAGACAAACCAGAGTTGTACTAACTCATACTCATTTTCACTAAGTAAACCTCCAACCAAACGGCCTCTAAAAGAAAACTCAGATTTTTAAACCTTTCACTTAGATCTCGAGTTTAACATTCTCAAACTCAAGATGTCGAACTGGACTTGGACGCTTGGAACCAAAGTCCTGTGAGCCATGACGAGTTAGGGTCAAGCCAAAAGCAAAGATGTGCCTTTTATAAATTAAAATAAAAAAAAAAAGAGAAAAAAAAAATTATTGAAGGAAATGTGTAGGGTACAAAAAACGGGTCGACTGACGGCTGCCGAAGGATTGGACGCACGCAACGGGATTGGATTTACTATTTTAAAATAATAATAATATTAATAATAAATACAACATAATAAAATCTTGGTTTTCTGAGTCAAACTAAATATGTTTATTGTATTAAAAAAAAAGAAAAAATAAATATGTTTATTTATTTAAATAATACTAATAATTTAGTAGGATTGTCAAAGCGAGCATAGCTCAACGATATTGACATATATCTCCAATTAAGAAGTGAGTTCGATCCTTCGCCCCCATATGTTGTACTAAAAAAATGATTTAACGGCATGAGCTTCACATGGAAAATTCTACTAAAATCAAGCTGAAACAACCCGTAGAACCTAGCCAATCTTCCAAGATCTACTTGAGTGAGTTGAAGGGATGCAAACCTCAAATCCACATGTCTATAACGGTCTAACCTCAAATCGGGCAGTCTATAATTGTCCAACCTCCTGTCAAAGCGGCTATAACGAACTTGTCCCTCATACCCTTTATAAAAGGGATGTCACTTCCACAATTCAGGTACACAATTCTATATGAAACTGACTTACTGAGCTCGAATCCACTGAATTGAGCTTTGAAGTGTCATTTTGTTTTTGTAGGTCTAATCCTCTCTTATCTCGCTTCGCCATAATTCGTCCAGGTTCATTGGAAGCCCATCTTTGGTAGCTTGGCAGAATTCACTAATTCAGCATAACATTTACCCTAACCCTTTAGTTTCATTAAATTGCATGGATAAATATTACGATATTAACTCTAAACTTTAAAAGTGTTCAATTTTTATCTTATGGTAAGTTTTCGTTTGAAATTTTTTTAGAGAAAAGGTATTCTTATATGTGTCAAATGAATTATAAAACAAATATTGACATAAAATCGAAAGAATTAAGAGGAAAAAAAACTTAGAGTATTTTTTTTTCTTTTTGAAATTTATAAATTTTGGTTGAGTTAATGGTCGACTATGTAAACTAATCGATCTTAATTTTATACAAAGCTTAGATTTTCAAAATT